CCACCCACCGCTGTCAGAGGAGGAGAGGAGGATGGAGGACCACCCACCACTGTCAGAGGAGGAGAGGAGGATGGAGGACCACCAACCACTGTCAGAGGAGGAGAGGAGCAGAGGAGGATGGAGAACCAAATCCTTGAAAATGCCCTTTAGCATTTAGAGGTGGGAGAGAAAGAGCAAGTTGGGCGCCTAGCCCCATCAGTCTCAGAAATTATGGGGAGAGAGATGGGTGGGGTGGCTCTAAGTCATGAGGACAACGCTGCCAAGAGAGGAAACTCTCTGGCCTGGGCATCGCAGTGTCTCAGTTCTGGGCGTGGGTGTCAGAGAAAGATGGTGGTGCAGAAGTCTGACCAAGGAACACTTGCCCTAACACTAGAAATTTGAATTGTTCTCAGGGTTTAGTTGACTTAAATCAGTGAAATAATGCCACATAAATGTGGGTGAGCTTTGAGCAGCTCTGGGAGTGAGCTGAGTGTTGCCCTGGGATTTGCGTGACGGCCTTGCTATAATAACCGGGGACAGGGACACAGTCCACTTTCCTGGTGACTGGTGGGGTGTCTGCCTGGGAGGGCCGGGGCACGTGTAGGCAATGCCTCTGTTCTGTCAAGAGTTCACAGTGCGTTCCTTCGGTGTGGGGAGCAGGCATGCAGGGCATGCTGCTCTGCAGACCCGCATGCCGCCAGCCGTGCTGCCCCAGGGTCCTGTCTGACTGCTGCCCTTGGTCTCCTCTTGCTCTAAGTTCTTTAGTTTTATTTCTTAATTTCTGATCTTCGTGGTTTGTTTCTTCTGCTTTGTTTGGGTTCATTCTGTGGTTATATTTCTGACTTCTTAAATTGGATACTTAGCCCATTACCTTCGCCTCTTCCAGGGTAACATTTAAGGGAATTTGGGTTCTTCTCGTGACCACTATACAGTGTCCCATACGTTCTGAATATAACTTCTTACTGTTATATCTTGTTGTTACATCTTCTGGTTTCCATTGTGATGTTTCTTCTTTTCAAATTTAGATCTCAGATTCTCAGGAGCACAGAGTTGAGTTAATCACGATCATTCTCATCATTTGTCAATACATGGTCCGTTTTGTTTGTTTCTGTGTTCATGACTGCACCTGTGTATTTATTTGGATAATGTTTTAAGCACACGTGAACCTGCCATCTGGAACTAGAGCTAGCTCGGTCCTCTCACCACTTGCCCTGACCACGCTGACTACCTGCCTTCCTCTCCTGTAACCACCAGCCAAATGCCATGTCACCACCCCCTGCTGAACTTTTTGATATCTGTGTAACTCTGAAAAAATTAATTTGAAAAGTTTTAGTTGTTTTTAACTTTATAAAAAGAGTGTCAGGCTGTATATAATATTTTTGAACTTTTAAAACTTATATTGTAAAGATTCATCCATATTGTTGCATGTCATTATAGTTCCTTCAGTTTTTAAAAATTGAGGTAAAATGTATATACAGTGAAATGCAAGATTTCAGTGTGAAAATTCTGTACAAAGTGAACAATTTGATGAGTTTTGACAACTGTATACACCCGTGTAACTAGCACCCAGTCGAGACAGAACATTTCCGTCACCCAGAAGCTGCTTTTGTCTGAGGGCAAACCGCCGTCTGAGCGCTCACGTCGCACCGGCTGCCCGTCCTCGGATTCCTGTGTGAGCCACAGTGAGCTCAGCCTTTCCCTCACACCACGGTCATGTAGGATCTCTGTGTGGTGGTGGTTCACTCTTTTTTTATTATCCATTGTGTGAACAGACCACAATTTGTTTCTATACTCTGCTGTTTATTGGCATTCAGGCATTTTCCATGGTAAAGGTGTGTTTAACCTCAAAAGAATCTGCCAAACAATGGTTGCACCGTGTTCTGCGTTCCCAGCAGCCGCGTGTAAGTTCACCTGCTCCGCCGTCTTGTTGGCGTTGATGTTGTCAGTCTTGGTTTCGACTATTTGCACAGAAGCGGTGTGTGTCTTCTTTCAGTTTTGATTCACCTTTCCCTGATGGCTAGTGATGTTGAGCACCTTTTCATGGGTTTACTGGCCATTCATAAATCTTCTTTTGTGAAATGTCTATTCAAATATTTTGCCTATTTTTTAAAAAATTGGGTTATTGGCTGCTGGTGGGAATGCAAACTGGTGCAGCCACTATAGAAAACAGTATGAAGATTTCTCAAAAAATTAAAAATAGAAATACCATATGACCCAGCTATCCCACTACTGGCTATCTACCCAACGAACCTGAAATCAACAATCCAAAGAGGCTTATGCACCCTTATGTTCATCACAGCATTATTCACTATAGCCAAGAAGTGGAAGCAACCCAAGTGTCCTTTGACTGATGATTGGATAAAGAAGATGTGGTATATATATACAATGGAATACTACTCAGCCATAAAAAAAGACAAAATCGTCCCATTTGCAACAACCTGGATG